TGGAGGCCAGAAAAAGTGACACAACATTTATCAAGTGCTGACAGCAAAGACTGTCAACTTTGAATCCTATATGTGAGGAAACTATCCTTCAGGAACAAAGGGGAAATAAAGACATTCTTAGATGAAGGGAAACTAACAGAATTTGTTGAGACTGACCCTTAAAGAATGGCTAAAGAAAGCTTTCCAAACAAAATGGCAGAAGGCTGGGACTTTCAGAAAGGAAAAGAACAACTGAAAAGGTAAAAATAGAAGTAAACATAATAGATAGTTCTTCACCTCTTGAGTTTCTTTATCCATATTTTCTGGTTGAAACAAAAGTTATAACCCCATCTGATGTGATGCTCCGTGTATGCAGAGGAAATACATAAGATAATTATATTCTAAAAGTGAGGAGGATAAAGGGACCAATTAAAAGACAGATATTGGTAGAGTGGATTAAAAAAACTTGACCCAACTATACGTCATATACAAGTGTACATAGGTAGACAGAAAGTAATGATGGAAACTTAAATATTATGCAAACAATTTTTTTAAAAACATCATTTTAAAAGGCTATATTATTATCAGATAAAGTAGACTTCAGAGAAAGAAAATTACTAGGGACAAAGAGGGACATTATAAAATGGTAAAAAGGATCACTCCCCCAAGTAGGTATAGCAATCCTAAATGTGTATGCAACAAACACCAGAGCTTTAAAATACATGAAGCAGGGACTTCCCTAGTGATGCAGTGATTAAGGATCCGCCTGCCATTTCAGGGGACACGGGTTCGATCCCTGGTCCGGGAAGATCCCATATGCCGCGGAGCAACTAAGCCCATGTGCCACAACTACTAAGCCTGCGCTCTAGAGCACGCGAGCCACAACTACTGAAGGCTGCGCGCCTAGAGCCCATGCTCTGCAACAAGAGAAGCCACCACAATGAGAAGCCCGCACACCACAATGAAGAGTAGCGCCTGCTCGCCACAACTAGAGAAAGCCCACGCTCAGCAATGAAGACCCAACAGTCAAAAATAAATAAATAAAAAATAAATTCATTTAAAAAAACAGCTTGAGCACCAGTTGCTTTAAAAATAAATAAATAAGATACGTGAAGCAAAAACTGATAGAGCTAAAAGTTGAAATAGACAAATCTACAGTTATAATTGGGGAATTCAACACCCTACTCTCAGCAATTGATAGAACTAGAACAGAAAGTTATCCAGCGTATAAAAGAACTGAACACCATCAACCAACAGGATCTAATTGACATTTTAAAACACTCCCCCCAACAGCAGCACAATATACATTCTTTTCAAATGTCCATGAAATATTCACCTAGATAGGCCATATTAATAAATTTTAAAAGAATTGGAAATATAGAGTATGTTCTCTGATCATAATGGACTCAAACTAGAAATCAATAACAGAAGGACAACAGGAAAATCTGCAAACATTTAAAAGAATACCTAATATAACCTGAGCAGTTCATGGAAACTTCCTAGAGAATGGACTCGCTTGTATAAATAATGTATAGGTGTTTTCCAGGTAAAGACATAGAACTATGGATTTTCCAGCTACAGGGGACAACAGATGAATGGGATGAGAAGAAAACATGTCTTCTGTTAGTTGAAAAAGGCAAGGAATGATGAGCTATAATAAGTTTGCAGACGTTTGTCATTTCTGTGAAATTCTAGTATCTGAGCCTCATTCTAACTGGGGGGAAATTTCCTGTTCTGGTGAGAATGAGAAGCAGAACTCATGTCCAGCATGGGAAAAAGGCAGATACTCATTCTCCCGACCCTTGCAGATAAGGAATGGGCATATATGATCTAAGTTACACCAATCAGATAGACCTTCACTGACTTGGAATTGGGAGGTAGTGACACAAAATGGCGGGGACAGTGAAGACTTTTCAGAGGCGGCACTAGCAGGTCAGCAAGATCCAGTTCTAGATAGAGCGAGGGCAGCTGTGCTAGCCACAGCGCTACAGACCAGTTCTACAGCAAGACTTGGAGCGTTGTCCCTTGATGTGCCGCTTGAAGCTGGGTTCCGCAGTTTTCTAGCAAATACTGTTAACGATTTCATATTCTTTCAGTAAATTATTTCACTACTTGAAGTCAATTTCTGTTGCTTGAACTAAGAATTCTTGTTGATAGAGGCTTCCAAGACAGGAGGAACAGGATTGAGGGGGGCCGTATTAAGAAGTGTGGCTCATTCTGGAAGGAATGGCAAATCATTGAAGGTGTATTAAGCTAGAAAGTGATATGGGCATATTTTTGCATTAATAATACCGGTTGTAAATCACAAGCGCCTGAAATGGGCAGTAGCACATACAAAGACTGAGAAGCAGGACTGGTAGATTAAAAATATGCAGGAAGGGGCTTCCCTGGTGGCGCAGTTGTTGAGAGTCCGCCTGCCGATGCAGGGGACACGGGTTCGTGCCCCGGTCCGGGAAGATCCCACATGCCGCGGAGCGGCTGGGCCCGTGAGCCATGGCCGCTGAGCCTGCGCGTCTGGAGCCTGTGCTCCGCAACGGGAGAGGCCACAACAGTGAGAGGCCCGCGTACTGAAAAAAAAAAAAAAAAATGCAGGAAGGAGGAAGGGATGAAAGAGAGGGAGTAAAGGATGACTGCTAGACTTCTCACCTGGATGTCTAGAAGAGTAGTTCCTCAAACCGAGATGCACTGGAACCAGTTTAAAAATGAATTTACATTTGGACATATTGATTTTTTCTTTAAACTTTTTATTTTGAGATAATTGTAGATTGACATGTGTGAAAGAAATAATACAGAGAGATCCTGTGTCCCCTTTACCCAGTTTCCCCAGGTGGTAGCACCTTACAAAACTATACACAGTATCGCAGCCAGGATATTGATATGAGAGAGCCAGGATACAGAACAGTTTCACCATTGATAAATTGAATGTCATCAAAATTAAAATGCTTTACTCTGTGAAAGATGAAAAGATAAATTACAGAAAAAATATTTTGCAGATCACATATCCAGCAAAGGGCCTGGATCTAGAATATGTAAAAAACTCTCAAAATTCAATTTTAAAAAAATCCAATTAGAAAATGGGCAAATGCACCAATATTTTACCAAAGAGGATATACAGATAGCAAGTAAGCATATGACAGATGTTCAACTTCATTAATTAGAGAAATGCAAGTTTCTCTACTGCGCACATGTTATAATGCCTAAAATTAAAAATGGTAACATCAAATTGCTGCTGACGATGTGGAAAAACTGGCTCACTCATCCATTGCTGGTGGGAATGTAAATGGTACAGCCACTCTGGAAATAGCTTTACAGTTTCTTTTAAAATGGACTTATCATACAACCCCACCAATACACTCTTGGGCATTTATCCAAGAGAAATCAAACTTACTTTCATGCAGAAACTTGTGCACAAAAGTTCACAGCAGCTTTATTCAAAACGGTCAAAAAACTAGAAACTACCCAAATGTCCTGCAGTAGGTGAATGGTACATTCATAAACTGTGGTACATTCCTACCATGGAATACTAGTCAGCAATAAAAAGGAATGAATTATTGGTATACACAACCTGGATGAGCCTCAAGGAAATTATATGGAGTGAAAAAAGCCAATCTGAAAAGAATGGATACATACTGCATGACCCCATTTATGTAACACTCATGAAACAGCATAATTACAGAGATGGAAAACAGATTAGTGATTGCCAGGGGTTAGGGCTGGAGGAAGAGGGAGGCTGTGGCCAAAAGGGGTAGTACAGTAGAGTATTTCCATAATGGTACAGTTAACTGTCTCGAATGTGGTTGTACTTATACAAAACTAGACATGCTAGTTACATAAAACTAGCTATACACCTACATACAAATGAGTGCATGTATAATTGTGAATTTATATATGCTCTATAGATTGTAGCAATGTCAACTTCCTAGATTGATACTGTACTGTATTTACACAAGATGTTAACATTGGGGGAAGCTGGGTGAAGGGTGCAGGAGGCCCCACTGTACATTTATGTGCACCTTCCTGTAAATCTAATTATTTTAAAATAAAACATTTATTTATTTGTGATAAGAACATGTAAGATCTACTCTCTTTCAAAATAATTAGACCAATTACAGAAGACATGCAGCACTGTCTTGTCATGTGTTCATATGCTTTTGCTTTCCATTTTGACAGAGCTGAACTTGTGGCTGGATCATCACACCCCACCAATTCTTTCCCCCGGGGTGGTGGTGATGGTGTATGGTTTAAAAAGTTGTCTCTTTCTCTCTCTCATTAACACTTGTCATAGCCCCCCATAAAAATGCTTGTTGCATCTTTCCTTCTGCCTGCCCCATTCTGTCTCCATTTGGGGATGGGACTTAAAGCCTTTGGGTACTTTAAATGTAACTTACTCATTTTATGTTCCAAGCTTTATTGTAGCATCTTAAGACCGAGCATTCAGCCACTTAGGAGTGTCTTGAAATCCTAAGCAGCTAAGAAATCCTAGGGCCTTCTCTTGTCTTTTCCATGGTGAGTAACCTTGTATTCAGGGAGAGGACAAGGAGAGAAATGGAGAGCCATCAATTATACAGAACTGTTCTTTGGAAAGCTTGAGTGTCCATTTACCCTTCTCCCCAGGGGCAGCGGCAGAGCGGGGAAACTTAGTCACTACTAATAATATGAAATAATACAAAATGCCAACACAATATTACTTTTGAACAGTGACAGAGATCTGTAATATAAGTTTAGCATAATATTAAAGTCACAAGACCTCCTGTTTACGTCTTATTGAAACAAATCACTTCCCCTTAGACTCACGTAAGGCCTCAAAGCTGATGACAAAAGGCAGTCATTTCCTACTTGTATGCAGAGAGGAAACAAAGACAGAGCTCTAGTCCCTGACTGGATGGCCAATGAATATTACAGAAGAGCAAAATCCACCCCTTAGTTGGGCCCCTCGTTCTCCATCTACACGGTTTTCAGGACTTTGGCATCAACTGTGATCACCGTGTTCTCTAATAAAGAGCAGCCGTGTGAAGACATACCTATTCATCTCAGGAGAGAAGATATTTGGTTGTATTTCTGATATAGCGCCTTGAATTCTTGAAGGAAAAGAATCAGAAAGATTTATGTCAATGCCAGGGTGCTGATGAGAAAGCTGAAGTTCTAAATCCTACGGGTGGCTTAGAAAAGGCTTTCAGACCAAAGACAGGGAGTGGAAGTTTATAAAAGCACTGCGGATGGCTTTTTTTTTTCCTTCTTGAAGAGCCATTCCTAAATGAAGCAAGTCAACCACATACTGAATTGTGTACCCTCATCCCCTTTGCTTGTCCATTCAGCCTGAATGAATTAAGGGATGAGGGAAGATGCTACCAGATATTCTCTGAAGCTGACACATAATGGCTTTGCTACCAAGCTGGTGGATGGTTTGCTCCTGTTGTTAGCTTTGTAGGCTCTGGGTAGTTTTTCTTTCAATGATTGTTGCATTTCTCATGATTTCACCCTCAGCCGCTTAGGGGTCTCTCCTGAGATTGGCTCTACTCTGAACGCAAACTCTGTGCGTGCATAGGAATATCAGAGTACCCACTTGCCTGCCAGTCTAACTCCAACGACCTGCGGTCATAGTGGGGTTTGCGATCACCAAGCCTCTTCAGAATGCCCTGGTTTTCCATGGTGATTCTCACTAGCTCCCGGTTCCTTGTTTCTCTGTTTAAGCTGAAAAATACAAAATCCCAAGATGCGTGAAGAATAAAGTTCTCCTCCTGGATGGGAGTGGGGGAGATGAAGTCGTGATGTCATAAATCCAGGCTGCCAAAGTGCAGGGAACCAGCTGTCCCGCAGAGCCCTGAGGCCCTGTACGCCTGTTGAACCAGGCCACACTCTGGGAAACGTGCAAAGCCTTTTCAGATTAAGATCAGTGGTTCTCAGCCCCGCTGCCTACTAGAAAATTCTACTTTATTGGTCTGGGATGGAGCTTGGGCATTGGCATTTTGCAAAAGCTTCCCAGGCATTATTATGTGAAACCAGGATTGAGAATCTCTGGTTTAGAGGATGAAGTTCTTGCCTACAGATAAATCACAAATGGCTGATGACAAGTTTTGGTTCACCTCACTCCCCTCAGCTGTCAACTCAATTTCAAAATACAAGGATTAGGAAAGACTTCTTGACACTCCCCACCCCCCCTACACACACACACACACACACACACACACACCCCACTCTTCTTTCCCTGCATACACTCCTTTGGAGCCCTGATCACACTGCATAACTATTTACATAAATGTCCCCCTTACCTGACATTGGGTTCTTTGGAGTTAGGAAATATACTTCTCATTTCACCTCTATAGTCCTGGTGCTTAGCACATGGTAGTTCAGGAAATATTTGCGGAAACAATTTTAAGAGTGCTGTAGTCCCAGCTATGGTCACCATTTTACAAAAGTGCTTTCTTGTGTCAAACTCTAAATAGGACTCTGAAGAGTCTCTTAGAGGGAAAAAAAGCTCTTTAACGCTAGAGAAAGGTCCCTGTTTGGGGTGGTTTTCTTTCTCCTTAACTTGGTCTCTTTGATTATCCCTCAAGATAACTTCCCTTAAGTATTCCTCTGGCACTAAAACCCAAAAAGGGTGAAGTCAATTTTGACTTTTGGAAAATGAAATGAAGAGAAAGAACACTACCTCTTAGAGAAATATTCGTTCCAGCAATCCACCTTGGCGGGGCTGCGGTGGGCGTTGGCAATTTTCTGACACAGTTGCTTGTTTTCATATTCGATTTTGTCGAATTTCTTTTGTTCACCCTGGTGAGAAACCCCACCCAATCATGGTGACGTCATTGCTACATGGCGCTCCATCCCACAATCGCTGAGCATCCCCCTCCTCTGGGATTGTGCGAAAGGGGCATATTGGGGGCCACAGTGCAGACTGGGAGAGAAGCTGAGGAATCCAGGGGTGGTGTGTATGGGGAGGAGAAGGGTGAACGAATCTTTGGTGAGGTGGGTATTTAGAAGGCTCTGGGAAACTGGCCCTCTTTAGCACATAGATAAAATCAATAATGGCAGGAACAAGTACCTGTAGTTTGCTCAGTTTTAAAATGTGATGTGTGTGCACCACTGGAGGCTTGGTATCAACAGTAGGCTTCACTAGAGAGGGGGGAAAGAGAGCAATGTTACATCACAGGTGTCCTCTTAGTAGCCTTAGAAAATCTGCTCACATTCTAGACAACGGCCCTGACTAAAACATTACAAGTTTGAATTCTGAACTAATCCAGTTCAGGAATTTTGGTTTAGTTCAGTTTCCCAAACTGACATCTTTTGGAGAGTTTTGAGCAGACGTGAGAGAATGGTGAGGGCTGTGAAAAGTAAAATTTACAGACATAAATATCCTTTGAATCTAATGAAAGAAACCTCTCTCCCACCCTTTCCCAGTACGACTAGCCTGGCTACTGGATGCTGAAGCCCTATCCTCTGTCTACCTTACTTTGGCTTTAAAGAGTTTAAATGAGCATATCCATCAAATGAACTCCCTGGTGGAAGATAAATTTGCAAAGCCATGTACTGGTCTGGTTTACTGTCAATATCTCTAAGGTGGGCCCTTCCAGAACCCTAGTCGCAGTGTCCTGTTCAAATTGCCCCACGTACCTATTTGTATTCTATTCTTATGAAATACGTAGTGGCCAAAGTCCAGTTTCCTCCTGAATGATGTGCTCTGTCTATGATTAGAGACGATCACAGGGTAGGCTAGATAATCCAGGGAATTGTTCATCTTCTCTTCCTAGTCTCACTTCAGAAATGAGGCACCCAGGCTCCTCTGTGAGGTACTTAGCTGTCCCCATGACGGGTTGTCAGTTACCCAGTTATGACATCAGGGACAGGTCCCCCGGAAGAAGGAGGAGCCCCAGAGCATGCCTGGCCGTCCCTGGGCTTCTCTTCTGAGAGCTAACCCAGTCAAGATGAGGGCAGAGGCTCAGAAGCTTTCCCAGCTGTCTGGAATGCAGGTGCCACCAACAGCAGCAGGAAAAGGTGTGGTGTCTGGGAGGGGTGGGAAGGCACGGGGTGGGATGGGGAGACATCCAGCCTTGGTTACACACCTTGGGCTCTAAGTTTAGTCTCCACTGCAATGGTTTCCCTGAAGGTGTGAGACTACAGCTGTTTGCAGAAGTAAAAGACCTTAATGATAATTCGATCCGATTTCTTCATTTTGCAGATGAGGAAACTGAAGTCCAGAGCAACAGCCAAACTTCTGTAGAACAAGTTAGTGGCAGAACTGGGCTCAGGATGTGGGTTTCCTGAATTCCCAGGACCACAGGTGCTTTTTGGAGAGGTGGCAGCTGCCATTTTCATGGCAGTGGAGGAGAACAGAGACGGTCTTTTGCTGGCAGCTGGACCTCAGTAAATGATGAGTTGCTGACATCGTGTGGCTCATAGTGGGCTGGCAGCTGCTCCAGGAAGGGCTGCAAAGGAGCGGGATTCACGTCCACACTAGCACAGGGTGTAGCACCTAGTGGGTGCGCTACACGTTTGCTGATCAAGAGAGGGAGAACGCCTATCCAGTGCTCACTATGTAGAGCTGGGCGCTTTCCTGGCATGTTAATCTTTCAAACAACCCTAGGAGTTAGGTGCTGTTATTACCCTCATTTTTTTCAGTAAACGGGCTCAGAGAGGTTAAGTCATTGCCCAGGGCCAGAATGCCATGCTTGCTTGCATAGAGCCCAAGCTTTAAGCACGATGCCAACTCTCACTGAAGGCTGGAAGAAATGTGCCTCCGAGTTGGGCTTCTCAAACTTTAAACCTTCGTAGGGATTCCCCAGCAGGGCGTATAAAAGGCACATTCTCACTCAGCGGGTCTGAGCTGAGGCGGAGATTCTGCATTCCTGACCAGCTCCCGGGTGATGCCAACGTTGCTGGTCCGCAGCAGGCAGAGCTCACAAACGGAACCCGGGTGTCCCTGTAATCCTGAGAAAATTCAGCGACACTAGGCTGTACCCCGGTCAAGAGAAACTTTTATTGCGCCCTGCATTTAGTCCAGTGAAGTTACTGCACTTCCATGCCTTAACGGGGGGTGGGAAGAGGACCCCCCAAAACTCCGGAGTAGCGGCATCTCAGCCCCCTAACTCAGGCCCAGAGGTCTGCCCCCGCGTCCGCCTAGCGCCTGCCGGCGCGCATGCTTCCCGGGAGCGGAGCGCGCCTGGCCGCCGGCGCTCCGCCGCTTCCCGTGCCCGGCGGGCCCGCCTCCGGGGCGGGACGGGGCGGGTCCCGGCTCCGGAGCGCCCGCCCAGCTGACCCGGCCGCTCTCCCTTAGCTTGCTGCTGCCGGGGCGTGCAGGGCCCGGCCGCCGCCATGTCGGGCCCGTTTGAGCTCTCGGTGCAGGATCTCAACGACCTGCTGTCGGACGGCAGCGGCTGCTACAGCCTCCCGAGCCAGCCCTGCAACGAGGTCACCCCCAGGATCTACGTGGGCAACGCGTGAGTCGCCGCTCCCGGGCCCCGAGACACCCCAACGGCCCCTCCCCGGGGTGCCCCGCCCACCCGAGGGCTGGGGGTGGGGGCGTCGGCGGGCGCGGGTGGGGGGAGCCAGGGCGGGGTCGTTCCTCCGGAAGCCGAGGCGGGGGCTGGGCGGGGGCTGGAGTCACCGCCCACCCTCGCGCTTAGGGCGGAGGGGCTGAACCCCGCCCCGCCCCGCCCCAGCTCTGTTCTTCCCTTCGCTGGGTGGCGGAGACCAGGGCGCAGCTCGGGCAGCCCGGCGTCAGGCCCGAAGCCACAACCCTCTAGGGGCTCGGCCTTGGGCCGTGTCGGGGCTACCAGGTTCACTTAACAGGTGGCCCTCTGTCCCCCGGCCGGTCTCTGGCCCGCTCGTCATGTGACAGCTGCCTGGTTCTGCAGTGAGGTCACCGCGGAATGTCTGCCTTCGCTGCCATGGCAACGGGATGACGTCACAATTCGGGCGTGGAACTTTCCCGGCCGGGCAGGCCCAGATGTGGGAATTGAAATATCGCAAACTAGGGGTCCAGAGACATGGGCCCGGGCTTCCTCGCTCCTCCCCCTGCCTTCCAGTTAGGGTTTGATTTGTCTAGAATTCTAGAACGATCCAATGATAACGCCCCCCTAAGGACCTGAGCCATCACTTAGAAAAGGCTGCCGACCTTCTCACCACCAGGAAATGCATTTATTATTTATCACTGAGGAGTTCTTACCAAATTGATTTTCTCATAGTCAAACTACCAGTAAGAATTTCTCAGCAGCAGGAGAAAACCAGTGTTAACCATTCAGAGAGTTGCTGAAATACCAGCCAAAAGCAAAAAAAAAATAGATTCCCATGCCTGTACAGCCTTGGGAGGGTGTAGGCTGGATTTTCTGAGACCCAGTTACCAAGGCCCTAAGCTCCATGGGCCCAGGGACTGCATGTCTAATCCGGTTCTCTCCTTTTACACAGGAAGAAATGATGGCCCAGAGCACTTTAGGGATTGTGAAGATAGGGTCAATGTCTTGTCCATGTCTGTATCCCAGGTCCTGGCCTAGGACCTGATGCTTAGTCTGCCAAGGACTGCCACAGAAGTGGGGGCCATCACGTAGCTAGGGGTTCTGGAAGGCAGGCTGGGCCTCGTGGGGGCTTGTCTCATCCATCCATCACTCATTCACCACTTGGAGCATCACTATGTCACAGATGTTGAACAAGTATTCACAGTATTGATGAAAATGATAATGGTAAAGTTGAATGTTGACTTAGAGAAGGAAGATGAATGGTAGTGACTCTTCAAAGTTAGTTATTTTAGTGCCTTTTTAATGAGCCACTGCTTTACAATTGTGTACAGTGTCGTGATAGCTAAAACAGGGTCTTAGAATCTCAGCCAAAGGCCTCGGTAATTGCCAAGTTCTGAGGATAAGCCCCTCTCCAGCCACCCAAGCAGCAAGTGGCCTTGGCCTTCTCGGAAACCTGCTCTCTTGGGCGGCTTGGCACATTGGGCTGTCACCACTTCCCAAGTGAAAACTAAGGTTGTGAACAAGTAAATCTGCCCTCAAGTAAATCTGCCCTTGACATAGCCAGGGGTGTGGGGGGCGCTCAGCAGGGAGGATGGACTGAGTACCGATCCCCCCCGCCCCCACGCAGTTGGGAGCGCCTTAAGAAAAGCAGGGCTCCTGATCAGGGCTCACAGGGCAGAGAGGAGCCTGGATGAGCCAACATTTTCTGCCTCTTGAGATTTGCAGTTGATATGGGCACGAGAGGCAGGGTGAGGAGGAAGACAGCAGGGCTGGCGTGAGGAGAAAGGAGGCCTTCTCCCAGCCCTGCTGCGCAGCAGCCCATGTGAGCATATGCACATCCTTCCGCTGTCATGTCGGGCCAGAGCTTAAGCCCTGTCCTTCCTCCCCGGGCTGCTGTGACAGGCAAACAAGATCACGCAGGAGAAGGCGTTCTGTAAAGTATAAACTGCTGTTTGAATTGGGACGTTGTTGTGAGATGAAATAAAGGAGCCCTTTGACTATTCAGATCGAATGTTTTGTAACCCCCAGAGTTCTGTTGAGGCCACTTGCTCCCCAAGTGCTTACTCACCCAAGAGAGCTTCAGAGACGTGGCTAGTGGACTATGGCAGAAAGGATCCCCCTGGGGGATGGGAGGGGGCTGCTGCACTTTAGAATCCAAGGAAGAAGGCTGCCTGGGATGTGCTGATTTCATTCTTCACTGATTCACCACATATTCAGCACCTACTGTGTGCCAGGTTCCATAGCACGTGCTGGGCATACAGACATGAAGTAGGCATGGTTCCTCCCTCAAGCAGCTCACAGCCTGGACATCTAAACAAATAAGCACAATCAACCATTAGGATAGTAGCAGTGACCACGGTGTCAGGTTCTGTCTATAGAACAGCTCATTTGACACTCAAAACAACTCCAGGGGTAGGTACTGTTATCACCCCCATTTTACAGATGGGGAAACTGAGGCACAGAAAGGTTTAGTGGCTTCTTCAAGGTTGTCTGGCTGGTAAGTGGCAGGGCTGGAATCAGACCCGGGCAGTCTGGCTCCAGAGCCCATTTTAGCCCCGTGGTGATACCACCACCACAGTATAGGGAGCACAATGCTGAATGGAGGGGAGATCAGGAAATACTGCCAAGGGTGGTGAGAAATGAGAGGGTACATTTCCATGAAGATGGTGGAGAAGGGCATTCCAGGCAGAGGGAACAGCATGGGCATGAAAGTGCCCAGGCTATTTGGGGCAGGTAATTAGATCTGGCTGGAGTGAGGGCAGAGGGTCATAAGCTGGGGCTGGAGAAGTAGTCAGGGGCCAGAGCATGGAGGGTCCTTGCTGGGCCAAGAGGCTTGGGATCTTCTCCATCTTTCTCCCCCAAGGGCTGCCAGGTGGTCAGTTGATCACCCCCCTGCTGCTGTCTCCTGTCCAGGTCTGTGGCTCAAGACATCCCCAAGCTGCAGAAACTGGGCATCACCCATGTCCTGAATGCGGCCGAGGGCAGGTCCTTCATGCACGTCAATACCAGTGCCAACTTCTACAAGGACTCTGGCATCACCTACTTGGGCATCAAGGCCAACGACACACAGGAGTTCAACCTCAGCGCTTACTTTGAAAAGGCGGCAGACTTCATCGACCAGGCCCTGGCTCAGAAGAACGGTAAGGGACCTGCCACCCAGGAAACTATGGGAGGCACCTTTGACTGGACTTTCTCTAGAAAACAGGCCCACGACAGGCCTCTTCTTGGAAAACCTGTTGTTTCCTGTGTCTTGTGCTGAATGACTGAGAGCTTCGGGTCTCTCTCTGCTCAGCTGGCTGCCCGTCAAGTGGCTTCACATGACACAAGATGTACGAACCCGTCACACAGTGGCAGCCCCGGGCTCCTTGTGTTGGATCTGACTTTGGCTGAGAGTCAGTTGCCAGCCCCTCCCCCCATTCAGATAGCTGCAATAATGAAGATCTATTGTTTTCCTTGATAAGAAATCCTGAGGAGAAGGGGCTCCAGGGCTTGCTGATTCAGCAGCTCTGTGGTGGCTTCAGGACTCTTCTGCCACCCTTAGTGTTGGGGACTCTCCTGATGGTCCCAAGATGGCTGCAGCCGATCTGGTTACCACCTCCCGACAGGACAAAGTGCAGCAAAAATGAGGCAGCCATCTCTTCCTCATGTTTCTCTCTTTTCTTAAGAGCAAGTGAAACATTCCCTAGAAACCCCCCAGTGGAGCCATCCCTCACATCTCACTGGCTACAGTTGGGTCACATGAATACCTGGCAAGGGGAGGGGGGCCAGTCATGATCGGCTTAGGCCCAAAGTCAGCAAACTTTGGCCCAGTTTTTAAATGCTTCCTGCAACTCCCAAATATAAGGTAAGACTGAAGCAGAACTGCTGAGGTGCTGGCAGTCGGGCGAGGCGTGCCAGAGAGAAATCCTAGAAGGCCAGAGGGTGGACAGCCACTGAGCAGGCTGGGCCGCTTGCCCTTTCTGCTTTTAGCTTGTTTCTCTCAGCAACTGCCTTTACCTTCCTGCCGCTTCCTCCAGCCTCTTCCTTCCTCCCCACCCCAAACCTTCCCAGGCGGAGTGACCCCCACTGAGGCGTCACCAGCCCTGTTCTCCTGATTCTAGCCTGTCTCTGCTACCCTGATGCTTCTTGTCCTAGCAGCCTCCCCACTGGAATGATTTCCAGGGAACAGAGTTTACTAGCCGCTGGTTAGCACATGTTTGGGGCCCAGAAGGGAAGATTTATTGCCTGGGGAATCTGCAGACTTTATCATCAGGCCCTTCGTGGTCCTCCAGTGCCTTGTACACCTTACCCACCTCCTCTGCGTCTGTTCTGAGCTCCTGTATAGACGAGAACGAGGGGCCCAGTTAAGGGGATGGATTTCGCTCTTCTTGTGTGTTGACTGGTCATCCATTCAGGGAACTTAGAGCCCTCTGATGGTTTCCTCTTTCCAGACAACTAGGAACATACCCTGACTTTGTGTGACCTCCTGCCTTAGCCCGCGTGGGTTGGGTCATTAGTCTGGAAGGCTCTCTCTGCCTCTCCCTGCCCTGTCCTCTGGCAGACTCCACCTCGTGCTTGAGTACTGGGCATAGTGTCCTCTCTTCCATGAAGCCTGCCCTCAGGCTGGGTCTGCTGTGTCCTTTGTCTGGTCTCCCTAGCACCTGATGTAGATCAGGCACATAGCAGGTACACTGGATTACTGAACCAGTGACAAAAAGGAATTCCAAGGGTTCTAATGCCCAGTGTAAATGCTTCCAGAATTGACTGGCCAAGTGAGTCAACAGAAATGTGCTGGCCCCCAACACTGTGCTGGGCTCGGGGGAGCTGGGGTCCCATCACTTTGGAGAGGGGAGAGGAGGGGAGCGGCCAGGGGCACTCAGAGAAGGAAGCAGTCACTTCCATCTGGGAAGATCAAGGGAGGCTTCGTGGAGGAGGTGGCATCTGGGCGGGGCCTGGAAGGATGGGCTTTGAACCCTCCCCTTCCGCACTGGCTCTATGAGCCCTGGGCATGCTGAGTCTGTTCCTGGTTCCAGGTGGTGAGGCAGCTGCTCTGCAGAGGGTCCCGTTGCCAGGGCGGGGGCAGGGAAAGCCCCACTCTGAATACTTTGGGTCCACTGGCCAGAGAGTGGAGGACTCCCCATTCCTGCTCATCAGGGTTGTGTTTTGGGGATAGGGTAATGGGAACGGAAGACACTCTGTTTGATTCTGGGCCAGCAGATTTCCTTCAGAATAATGCCCGTGTAGAGGTGTTGGTGGGTATTCATTCACTCAGCTGGTCAGCAAATATTTATTGAGCACCTACTATATGCTGGAGATTGTAGGGCATCTAAAATCAGTACCCCACTGTCCTAACCCTTAAGGAACTCACACTCTGGCAGAGGAGGGTCAGTCTTTGTGTGGCCGACGCTAACACAGAGCCAGGCTGCTGTAGAAGAGGATGTACCAGGTGCCAGCAGAGGACTCGTAGTGTTGGCTAATATTTATTTATTGAATGTTCCCATCTGCCAGGCACTAGCCTAAGTCTTTCTTTTTTAAATTAATTTATTTGGCTGCGTTGGGTCTTCATTGCTGCACACGGGCTTTCTCTAGTTGTGGCGAGGGGGGGCTACTCTTCGTTGTGGTGCGCAAGCTTCTCATTGCGGCTTCTCGTTGTGGAGCATGGGCTCTAGGTACGCAGGCTTCAGTAGCTGTGGCACGCGGGCTCAGTAGTTGTGGCTCGTGGGCTCTAGAGCACAGGCTCAGTAGTTGTGGTGCACGGGCTTAGTTGCTCCGCAGCATGTGGGATCTTCCCGGACCAGGGATCGAACCTGTGTCCCCTGCATTGGCAGGCGGATTCTTAACCACTGCGCTCCCAGGTAAGTCCCTAGCCTAAGGGTTTTATGTGTCACTTCCTTTAATCTTCCAACCACCTTGTGCCATGAGTACTATTAGCACAGACAAGGAAACTGAGGCACAGTGGGCTTAGGTGGGTCATAGAGTAATAACCAGTGTATTGGCCAGGGTTCTCCAGAAAAACAGAACCAGTAGAATATAGCTATTATTTATTTCAGAGAATTGGCTCACGTAATCATAGGGGCTGGCAAATCTGAAATCTGTCAGGCAGACTGGCAGCTGGAAACTCGGGCAGGACTTCTGGAGGTAGAATTCCTTCTCCAGGAAGCCTCAGTTTTTTGCTCTTAAGATCTTTAACTGATTGGATGAGGCCCACCTACCTTATCAAGGGTGATCTCCTTTATTTAAAGTCAACTGATGGGAGATATTCATTACATCTACAAAATCTCTTCGAGACTAGTGTTTCACCAAGCAACTGGGCATCATAGACAAGCCAGGTTGACAAGTTTAACCATCACAACCAGCAAGTTAAAATTTAAACCCAGATTCACATGACTTCAAAGATTTGGGTTCTAAGTCCCGATGCTGACAAAGGAAATACTTGAGCTGGGGTCTTAAGGTATGAGCAGGAGTTTGCCAAGTAGCCAAGAGGGAGAGGATGTTGCAGGTAGACAGAAAAACATGTGCAAAGGCACAGAGGTGAGAAAAAGCCTGGAAAGGTGTCGGGGCCATGGGCGGTTGGCCTGGTAAGTCACACCTTGGGGACTAGACTACCCGGCTAATGGTGGCAGGTCACGTTTATTTTAGAAAGCTCCCTCCAGCTGGAGTGTGGGTTGGTGGTGGTGAAGATAGACCGAGAACTCAGTTTGGAGGTGAGGGGGCAGAGGTGGGAGGCGACAGGGACCTGAACTGAGCACTCTGTGTGAGGAGGGGGTGGGGATAAGAGAAGCCAAGGCTTGTAGCTCAGGCTACAAGAACCTTGTTGACAATGCCTCTGACCTCTCCTGACCATCCCTTCCTTCCTTCACCCAACACTGGGGATGCAGCAGGGAGCAAAACAGATGGACATCCCTGCCCTCGTGGAGCTTATGTTTTGGGGGAAGATGACAGCAAACAAGTGAAAAAGATATGTGGCCCGTCAGGGGGTGGGGGGACCAAAGCAGGGAGAAGGGGATGAAGGAGTATGGGTAGCGGGCTTGTGTTGCCAGCCGGCTGGAGGGAGGGAGGAGAGGGAGGAGGGGATTACGTCAGTGGCAGGGGGAGGGGCAGATTTAGTAGAGCTTGGTGGGACATTTGGGGGACCACGAGAGGGTGTTTTTGTTTGTGTGGTTTTTTTAGTTTGTTTGTTTTGCGGTACATGGGCCTTTCCCGTTGCGGAGCACAGGCTCCGGATGCGCAGGCTCAGCAGCCATGGCTCACGGGCCCAGCCGCTCCGCAGCATGTGGGATCCTCCCGGACCGGGGCACGAACCCGCGTCCCCTGCATCGGCAGGCAGACTCTCAACCACTGCGCCACCAGGGAAGCCCTGTTTATGTGTTTGTTTTGATTTCTCGTGTTTTTATTTGACACGCACGTACCTTTTATTTTTAAAATGGCTTTGTTGCAGCATAACTGACGTTCAGTAAACTACACATAGTTGAGTTTGGTAAGTTTTGACATATGTATACATCTGTGAAGCCATGACCACAACCAAGATCATGAGCTTATCCGTCACCCCGCAGATTTCCCTCATGTCCCTTTGTGACCTCTCCCTTCCGCTCCTCTCTTCCCTCTGTTCCTAAGCAACCACCGATCTGCTTTCTATCACTAGACATTAGTGTACATCTTGTAGACTTTCATATAAATGAAGTTGCATGGTATGTCCTCATTTTTGGTCTGGCCTCTTTCACTCAGCATCATTACTTTGAGTTTCTTCCGCGCTGTTGCACGTATCAGGAATGCCCTTTTAACGCTGAGTAGCCTTCTGTTGGATGGACATACCACAGTTTGTTTATCCATTTACCTGTTGCTGGACATTTGGGTGGTTGTCATCTTTTGCTTTTGCTTGAAATAGAAGATTCACATAGAGAAGTACCCATATCACAGTGTATCAGTGCGCTGCACACACCCATGTACCAGCCCCCAGATCAAGAAACAAAGCATGACCAGCACCCCAGAAACCCCCAACGTATTCCCTTCCAGTGTCACATCTCCCGCCTCGCATACCAGTATCCAGACTTCTAACAGCATAGTTCAGTGTTGCTGACTCTGTTTTGTTGTTGTTAAAGTTTTGTTTTTGTTCTTGGCCACACTTTGTGGCACGCGGGATCTTAGTTCCCCTGCACTGGCAGTGCGGAGTCCTAACCACTGGACCACCGGGGGAGTCCCCTGGCTCTTCTACCCTATGGGATCGTACACATCCTGTTTGTGTGTTTCTTCCATGCTGTACCTGGGAAGTTGGAGATTGCTTATCCTTAGTGTTTATCTACTCTGCCATTGATGGGCCTTTGGGAGTTTCCAGCTTGGGGCTACCATGAACAGTGCTGCCTACAGTCTTTTAGCAGACGTGTGCGTGCATTCCTGCCGGCCATGGGTCTGGGATGGAACTGCCAGGCCCTGGGGAACGCGTGTGTTCAGCTTGAGTAGATCCTGCCACACGGCTTTCCGAAGCTGTGTGCCAGTTTACACCCCGTCCCCGAGCCACAGATCAAAGTCCTAGCTGCTCCACATTCTCACTAATGCTGTGTGTTTTGTACTTATCTTTTTCATCTTAGCCATTCTGGTGGGCACACAATGGCCTCGCATTATAATTTTCATTTATATTTCCTGGAAGGGTTTTTTTTTTTTTGCGGTACACGGGCCTCTCACCGCTGTGGCCTCTCCTGTTGCAGAGCACAGGCTCCGGACGCGCAGGCTCAGCGGCCACGGCTCACGGGCCCAGCCGCTCCGCGGCATGTGGGATCTTCCCGGACCGGAGCACGAACCCATGTCCCCTGCATCGGCAGGCGGACTCTCAACCACTGCGCCACCAGGGAAGCCCCCTGGAAGGGTTTTGACTGGAGTCGAGGTGTGACGGGACGGCCCCAGCTCACTGTGTCCCCATCTTTCACAGGCCGAGTGCTCGTCCACTGCCGTGAGGGTTACAGCCGCTCCCCGACTCTCGTCATCGCGTATCTCATGATGCGTCAGAAGATGGATGTCAAGTCTGCCCTGAGCATCGTCAGGCAGAACCGTGAGATCGGCCCCAACGATGGTTTCCTGGCCCAGCTCTGCCAGCTCAATGATAGACTAGTCAAGGAGGGGAAATTGAAGCTCTAGGGCGCCCTCACTGCCTCTTCTCTAGAGGTCGGATGGAGGGAGGCACCCTGGTTGTGGTGTCCCAAGCTGCCATGTTTAGGAAACACAGTGTACCCTGCTCCCAGCATCACCAGGCACTTGCCCACAAGTCTGTCCCAACACAGCCCTGGGCCACTTTCCCCCTGGGGAGCATATAAAGAAGCTTGCTGAGGAGGGCATTCCTGCTCCCTGGTGCCTACAATTTATGATGTCCTCACCCTGAGGAGGGGGCACAGAGGGGGCGCAGGCCTGTGACGGGCGTGCTTCTCCTGGATGGCCCAGGGCAAGGGGTGTGTGGAGGTGTAAGGCCTGAGATGCTCACAGGGACCCCTCCCCGCCTCCCCACCCTTCACCCCTGGGCCCTCTCCTGAGTGGGGACCCCAGCCCTATAAAGGAACTATGCAAACGCGGGCCCCTCTCCCCCCACCGTGTCTGTCTCCCCTGTCCCCTCACAGCTGTCCACACCCTGCTCGTAGGCAGAGGCACGTCGTGAGGTCTGAAGTTGGCTCAGGGTCAGTTGTCCGTGGGTGGAAATTCCCATGAAGAGACTGCATTTTAATGATTTCCTTAGGATTAAAGATACCGAAACAAAGAAGCCTTTGAGTGGGCAAATACATGTCCCTGGAGGGCTCTCCTAAATTAATTGTTTAAAAAATGTGACTCCTTGGAAGGCTTGAGTTCAGAATCCACCTCTTCGGGGTACCCAGCTCTCAGAGGTCACTTGGTCGGTTAGAAGAGCGATGCCTTGGGCAGGGTTTTATTTTTCTTTTTTAGAAAACAGGGTGTTGAAGTCCAGCCTATTTAAAAACCCCACCATTTGGAGAATTACAAGGGTTTTGTCCTGAATTATAGTGTTGGCGAGCCCAAGCCACTCGTGCTCACTGCTTTTTGTCTCGGTTACTATTCCAAGAACAGGAGGAGGAAGTTGGCCAATTATAGCACGTGCGTGCACGTGCGCGCGTGTGCGTATCTGTGTGTGTGTGTGTGTGTGTGAGAGAGAGAGAGAGAGAGAGAGAGAGAGAGAGAGAGCAACACAGCCAGTGGCTGGATAAGCAAGGGGATGAACAGACCCAGGCTCACATCCTGCCCGCTCACAGGTAGTTCTCCCAGCTCTCTCTGCCGCCAGAAAAGGTCCAGGAGCCTTGGCAGCAAAAAATGACTCAACCGGGCAGAAAGGAAACATGGCGGAACGTCCAAATGCAGCCTTTACTGGTGGTAGAGAAAACAAAAAGAAACAGCCTCTGTAAGGACTTTTTTAGGATGATGTCGGAACGCACAAGCACTCACACACGTGTGCGTGTGCGCACATTTGTCAGAATATAGGAGTTTTGTTTTGAACACAGTCTTCTTAGCACTTGACATGATTGCCATCAGGGCAAGCGATGCAGTGCTGTCATCTTCAGGTTCCCTAACGGCAGAGAGGTGGTCCTCAGCTCTGCCCCCAGCGCTTAGCACATAGATGTCTGATAAAAGTTTGTGGAATTAAACTTTTTTTTTTTTTTTGCGGTACGCGGGCCTCTCACTGTTGTGGCCTCTCCCGTTGCGGAGCACAGGCTCCGACATGCAGGCTCAGCGGCCATGGCTCACGGGCCCAGCCGCTCCGCGGCATGTGGGATCTTCCCGGACCGGGGCATGAACCCGTGTCCCCTACATCGGAAGGTGGACTCTCAACCACTGCGCCTCCAGGGAAGCCCTAAACTTTTTTTTTTTTGAGCACCAAATATATGCAGGGTGTTGTTCTGGGGGGTGTATCAAACTCCCAGAAGCCTGACTTGGTGGTAGGATCACTTGCAAGGACCTGCAAAGGAGTCTTACCTGAAAGGAAATATCAGGGACTTTTGTTGAATATTTAAAATTCAGTTTTAAGTTTCAATTCAGGCAGCGTCATTACTGTATGGAGGTGGGGAATGTGCCTTTTCCAGAGTTGACCAGAAGCTTCCAGCTAGGTTGAGGAGAAGCAGGTGTGCCTTGGGCCTCACACCCAGGTGTAATGGTCTCTGTCTTGGCAGAAGCAGCACCTCCGCAGCCTGGATGTCCCCTTTGCTTTGTGACCTCAGCAGCCCCGAACAAACTAGAATCTGTCTTCTTTTTCAGCTACGAGGCTGCCCCAATAGACCCACCTAAGTGAAACGACCACGCTCTCCACCACGTCCCTCACAGTGCCCAGATAACTCTCGCACTTAATCTATCTTGATCCTCACAATAACCTATTAACTTGGTAGGACTTCTTCATGTATTGTTACCTTTCAGGAAAGGAACTGGGGTTCAGAGTGAGTAGGGGTGTAGTGCTCAGGGCTGCCCAGCTCCAAGGCAGAGCTGAGGCGAGATTTCAGGTTGGCTGCTCTCTGAAGCTGAATTCTTTCTCTCATACTACACTCCTCCTCAAGAAATGAGCCCCTGGGCATGTCCGTGACTCAGCTCGTGTGCACAAGAGCCAGTTAGCTTTGTGGCCAGAGGACAGCTGTTCAAGCTGTGGTGTTGGGGGCGGCGGGACTCTGCTCCAGGACAAGGAAGTAAAAAGCGTGGGTCCCCAACCGGCTTAGAATGTGTGGCTCTTCTTCTAGGAAACATGTAGCATCCCTAAGTCAGAGCTTTCTGCTCCACTTCCGGAAGAGGCCCAGGAGCTGGGGCGGGGGTCCGCCTCCCACACCCAGGCAGTGGTCCCTGCACAGGACAGCCACAGCTGCTTAGGCCGGCTGACCAGGATCTCTTGAAGGACTCTTTGTTAGGGGTATGTTGGAGAAAAGGCCATGGGGAGAATTAATGCCTTCACTTTGGGGCTACTTTTTTGCTGATAACTTGGGTTTTCTTAGTTTTTAGTCCCAGAAACGCCGTATTTACTTCACGAGATGTAGCTCCTCAAAATCAAATTCTATTGTTTGAGCCAACACATGCCCGGCTGTGAGTGGAAAGCTGTTTCTGGATAGCTTTCTACCCCTGGGAAGTGATGGGATAGGAACTCAGGACGCCTCTACCCCCTCCTCTGACCTATTCTCTTTCTTTGACTAGCAACCCCCCATCTAGGCCAGATGAGAGCACCAGACAGTTTTCTTCTAGATTCTAGAGCAGTACACCTTCCGCAGGCTGGTCTGTTTCCCTGCCACTCTGAGTGAGCTGGAGAGCAGAAATCACCATCTGTCAAGCAAAGGGACTCAACTTGAAGACCTCTAAGGTCCCTTTTGGCTCTGACACCGTGGGGTTCTTCAAGAATCCGCATTGATATTGACCGCCATCTGGAAATTATAGGGTGTGTAACAATATGATGACCAGCAGGTGGCGTTGTGTTCCACCTGTGGTGATGGATGCTTGGAAAAGGAATGTTGGTGCCTTTTGTGTCACAAGTTAATGATAAGATGCTAATGTTTTAATCGAAATAAGCACTGATCTTAAAATGTGAACATATTAGCTTTTCTCGCAGGAAATTTTCTGTCATAAAACCTGCACAAAAATCACTGAAGAGCCAACAACGATGGTCCTTCCAAGTCAAGATTTTATCCTGATTGGAAAGAGAGGCCATCTCCGGTTGGGAGAGCAGATTGTTTGGAAGCTTTACTTACCTCCTGTCAGCTTTTAGGGTAATTTGATTGTGAAAGTGTGAATTTTCTGGACAGAAAAGGAGAAGGTATTAAATTGGTTTTAAAAAAAGTAAGTTTAATGTCTGTTCTATCACAAATCAGTGTTAAAACACTAAAACTGTAACCAAAATAAATGTCTTACATTACAAAGAAATGGTCTTTTTGTCCTTCTCATCATAGTTGATTTTCTTTTATACTTTTATGCTTAGCTTTTGTTTGCTTTTTCTAACGTTTTAAAGTAATCATCTAAAAATTAGCCCTCCTGATTAGGTACAGGTTCCGTGATTATTACATTCATTCAGTAAATATTTATTGAACATCTCTCCAGTACCAGAAATTTCCTGTGTTAGGAATAATCCTTAAAAATAATTTAATTTAAAAAAAATTCAGCTTTATTGTGGTGTAATTGACTGGAATATTCTTTTTTTTAAATTAATTAGTTTATTTATTTTTGGCTGTGTTGGGTCTTCGTTGCTGCGCGCTGGCTTTCTCTAGTTGCGATGAGTGGGGGCTACTCTTCGTTGCAACGCGAGGGCTTCTCACTGCAGTGGTTTCTCTTGTTGTGGAGCACAGGCTCTAAGCAAGCGGGCTTCAGTAGTTATGGCATATGGACTCAGTAGTTGTAGCACATGGACTCAGTAGTTGTGGCGCACGGGCTTAGTTGCACCACGGCATGTGGGATCTTCCCGGACCAGGGCTCGAACCCACGTCCCCTGCATTGGCAGGCAGATTCTTAACCATTGTGCTACCAGGGAAGTCCTGACTGGAATATTCTTGATTAGAGTAGTCCACTGCAAATGAGGGAGGTAAGATTTATGTTCTGAAAGCAGGGGACAGGGGTGACAGTCTCAAGGTGGCCTCACATGAAGATGACTGGGTGGCATTTTAGGATTTGAGTCATCCTGCAAGCAGGCAGTCCCCAACATCCCCTCCCTCCAGATGTCTTATAAATTCCTCCTGTAGCAGTAAGCTCCTTTATGATAAGCATTGCCTTTTTTCCCCCTGAATAAAAAACTTAGAGAAAATTGGGTGCCTTTTCTCCAGACAGAAAGAGCCTGGGCAGAAAAAGAGCCTCTCTGGTCTCCAGCTCCCCATCTGCAGCAGGAGGCAATTAGACTAGCTCAGCATTTGTCAAGCTTCTTTGGCAACATAATCTTTACATTTTCACACAAAATCTTAAGGCAGGGCACTGATATATAAAACTGGTAACATGTTTTTTTAAGTGTAAGTTACACTTAAAAAACATTTTAATTAAAAAGGCAATACTGTATATATACACAGTAATAAATTCAAACAATACAAAAGGCTTAGAACAAAAAGTGAGTCTCCTACCCCAAACCTTCAATGCCTCTACCCCAGAGGAAGCCACTACTAAGTATGTCCCTCTAGAAAAGTGCTGTTCATGTGTAAGTGCACACATATGGATACTTGTGTGTATGTAGAGATAGCCTTTCCCCCGTAAGTGGAGAATGTTTGGCACTTCGCTAGGTTGTACCCTCTTGTTTCTTATAGTCCCATTCATTTTGCCAGCCGCCTAGCATCCATTGTGTCTGGACATACTGTGATTTCTGTATACTTTTATTTTAAAGGTGTAGT